GTACTAGTAGTAGTACGTACGTACGTACGTACCGTACGTACGTACGTACGTTAGTAGTACGTACGTACGTACTACCTCTACTCTCTACTCGTACTACTACTCCTCCTCTCTCTCTCTCTCTCTCTCTCTCTCTCTCTCTCTCTCTCTCTCTCTCTCCTGAGGTAGCACGCCACCCCATAAGAACAAGGGGTGGCACACACCGCTCCAGTTCGGGTTTGTAAAGGGAAGCATGCCCAGCCGTAGTAAATAGGGAGGTGCCTTGTGACACACCCCAAGTGTTTCTAAAAGGGTTATAGAAACTCTACTAATGTTATGCTCTCATAAGAAACCCTAGGTTGTGAGGTATTGCATAAGAAAGCTTCCCGGCTCAAAAAAATCAGCAAGACCAATAGGACTAGAGTGTACCATTTGTCAAGGAATCGGGTGTGGAGTGTATTAAGTCCAATGAGGCTGACCCTAGGCACACTCAAGTCTTCCTTGTTGTTTGTTATATGTTCTGAATTTTCAGGAATATTGTTTGTACTTAAATTGTTAGGAGAAGTTTGTTTTTCTTTCTTGGGTTGTTGTGTTCATTCGATTTGGTAGTAAAAGAATATGTCCTAGGTTGTATTAGGGTATGTTTTTTCTTATTTACAACAGTATATTGTGGCACTTAAAAGTAGAATTCAGATTCATTAAATGAAAAGAAAAAAGACAAGCAAATTTACCGCCTTGAATTCCACATAGCCATTTCTTTCAAAAGCAACAATGGATAAATGTAAAACCACAGGATAGCATGCACCTATCCTGCACCATGCTTCATGACTATGGATATAAAAGATAATAAACTTTTGTTTCTTTTATTTTATCCAAGGTTTAAAAAAACGTATCAATGGATCGGCAATCCAGATCGGAAAATTGCCGGATCGGCAAAAGCCGACATTAAAAAAGTTTCAAAAAATTAGGAATTTCTTGAAGTACTAGGAAAAAATGTATTAAGGTATTTCTTTTCAAAACATTTTTTGAACAAATAATTTTTGGGCTTTTTAAAAAAGAAAAAAAAAACATATTAGATTCTATTTTTATCATGTTGCATGTGGTTCACATAAGCGTTTTTTTCTTTTCACTCAATCAAAGGCGTTTTGTACAAAAAACACAAGGGCTAAAAACCCCATAAAGAGAAAGGTCAAAAAAAGTCCTATTGGGCAAGATAAGGACATTTGAGTGTGGTTTAAAATACAAGGCCATTTAAGAGGGATTTAGTCAACCGGTAGAGAAATCAACCGAAGGAAAAATAGTCCCACATTGAGACTTGAAGGATGAAAACATCTGTATAAAACTTATAACCCATTGCTAACAGTCAGAAGAATTTGGCACGCGTGGATGTGAGGCAAGCGGATCATTAGCATGCCCACCTACGTAGGTAGTACCACCATGTGTTAAAGTGTTGAACATTAAAGATAGGTCGGCCACCACTTTTATTTTAAAATTTAAGAATGTAAAAGCAAAATTTCAAAAAAGAAAAAAGTTGGAAAAGCCCCCATGTTTATTTTATTTTTATGAATTCAAGGGAAAAAGTGAAACCTAAAGGCCTCACAGCCAGCTTAGGACCTCCTTTTATTCCAAAAAAATACAAATACTACAACAACAACGATACTAAAAGATTCAATGAAATGCTTGAATTATATCCTATAATATTGAAAGTAAAGAATGAAAAGAGTTGCCTGGAGGAAATGCCAATTGTGCTTGATTCAAAGACTAAATTACCTAGTCCATATAATAGAAGTCATCGTTGTAAAGGATATCATCCTCATTAGATGATAATTACTGTAGTTAAAAAAGGTGCTTCCAACATCAATGCCAATGTTACTAAGTATTCAATTGAAAATTTATGACAGGAAGAGGATTCACTAAAATTAGTAAATTCACATTTTTCTCTACAACTTTATAACTAGAAATCATAATGGTGGACATTTGGCGTCAGTTGGAGAAGAAATTAAGTAGTACAAGGTTTTACCTCACTATTACCAAGCCCAACCTCCTCAAATGCAGAAAAGGCATCAGCAGACATCACCTCAGCCCACTGCATATATTATCAAAAATCAGAAATTACAGAATATATAAATAGAAAAAATGTGGTAAAGTTCCACAATAATAAAAACCAACTTTTTTGGCTGAAGAGCAGACTTTCAGATATGCGTGATTGGAATAACATTCTAGCTTAGTGGGCAATCAATGGGTTAGGTGGCATCTCCATATGACAAGAGATTGCCAAGTTCCAACCTACTACAGAATTATTCATGAAGTCATAGATTAAAGAATCCAAGCATATGAGCCGATTATCTATTTTCATCATACCTACTAAACTGTCACAGCATATAAAACTCCACTGACGTTTAAATGGTACAAATTCATTGTCTACACTAAATAGTGTGCCACTCAATTCGTTGACCCATTTGATACAATTAGGTAATAATGAATAAAACGCCTGAGCATGCCAGGAATATTGCATATATGTTCATAAACGTTTATGGAGTACCTGGTAACTGTAATATCCAGCATCATAATGATCTGCAAATATCCAATTGGGGATCATAAAAAATTAAGAAATTAAACTAGTACAATGCAAAGACTCCAAATCCACGAATAACAGAATGAGAACCTGCAAATATATGGCTGAAGACACAAAGAAATCTGTCCTCTAGCAACGGTGGCATGACCTGCGTTATCGACATCAAAAATGGACTCGGATCCACCAGGCAGATACTTCGTATGCAATTCAAGATCAACGATTGCAAATCGTATCTACATGAAGGATAACATGCAAAGTATCGGAAAAAGATTATCTAAATGAAACAAGTAATATATGGACTAAATTCCTTGTGTATTGTTAAGAGAATTATATCCAATCCAGCATAGTCATGTAATGAAGACCAAAATATGGCACAAACGTGTGGAAAATGCTGAAAAAGTCGAGATAAGTATAGGGAATTGAAAGTCATTTTTTCCACTTTTAATGTTATCTCTGAATGGTTAAGTGTGGATGCAAGTCAACATTCTGAACAAAGACCCTCAAGAATATGCAGAAACAACATAGAGGCACAGGAAAGATCTAAATTAAAACACATAAGATCACATTCTGTACACAGCGAAACTTACAGAGAAGCCTTCAAGAATGTCTAGAAAGAGAAGGTCCCTAGGATCGAGTTCAGTTGGTTCTCTCTAGCACTCACTAATGAGGACAGATTGCAATGGGATCTGTATGGACTTTATGTACAGAATCAGTTTCTTTTGGTTTGTATAAGGAAAGAGGTATTTATGTTATTTTGCAGTCTACATCACTTGCTAAGATGCCCAGACAAAGATACAGACAAATACAGATACAGGGATTAAGGACATTACACAAATATGGATACAACTATCCCGTTATGCATTTCGTAAAACCGAGGACACAGATATAAATACGAGTATCCCAGCTTATTTCAATGACTCATATATGCTATAGCTTAATTTCCAGGCCAAAAAATATGATTTACTAACAGATCAGACTCAGCAACAAAATAAAATTTATCAGTCGTGCAATCCATGGAAGATGGGATTAGCAATAACATCATCAAAGGCAGTTGGATAGCTTTGTGTTATCAGAAGCTACATAATAGTTTTATGTTTCATGAGAAGCTACATAACAAATCAACTCTTATCGAATCTGAATCATATGTTAGTTTACCAAGTGAAGAATTAACTACCTAGCTCCCTCCCTAAAACACAGGGAAATATTACCTAAAAATCAGCAAAAACAGCACCATAAACCAACCTGACGCAGACGTTCTGTACCCTTACGGAAAGTCCGTGCAGCTAGAAGCTTGGAATATACTACCTCCGGCAGACTCTCTCCAGTTTTATAGTGCTTTGCAATACTCATTAATGTATTTCTGTGTGTAATGCATGTTGAAGAATTGAGTTAGTACTGCATTTGGAGAGCAGAATAAGACTACTAGATCTACCCACCTGCCAAGATATAGTAGGAGAAAAAAATTACAAATAGGAAAACGAGAGAATCAACTAAAGGATCGTGATGATAATATGAAATGAAATCATCTGTCCACCAATGCCATGAGTACACTCATACAACAGCTGAAATAAAATGCGATATATTTGTTGAATCCCCTACCACTGACAATAATGAATCATGTCTCCATGGATTGGCTCAATATAGCAGCAAGATCTACTAGATCTGCACCTCAACTCTAATAAACTATTAAAAAAAAAAGGACTGATTGATGCTAGCAAAATGATACTGTCATGGGCCGATCAGTAGGACATCATCATTTAAATACTGTATAATTTCTGTGACACCGGGGTTTAAAAAAACGGTGATCTGGATTGGAACCAGCCGATTTGGATTGGGAACCAGAGGGGCCGGCCCGGTTCCTCCAAAACATCAGGAACTGGCTGGTTCACCTTTATGAACTAGTCAGTTTTGGCAGAGAACCGGACATAACTGGTCCCACCTTTTATTTTAATTTTTTTCACTGTTTTTTATTCTCTAATTTTTTTAATTTTTTATTGGCCAGTTTCATTCAGCCAAATCGCCAAATCCAGACGAACGATCCGGACTGGTTTTCCTGACAGGCAATCTAGGTCATTGATCTGTGTTTTCAAACCTTGTGTGTCACTGAACTGGGAATTCCAACTCACAGAATTTTATATACATTGGTGAAACAAAAGATGCCGCACATAGTAGATTCAACTAAAAGATATTCAACAAGGTCAGAAACCACCGCACGGAGAGGACTAGAACTCAAAATATGACATGCATAAGCACACACACAAGCACATGTACACACACACAAGCACATGTGCACGCACACACTCGCCTACACATACATGGATGATCTAAATTTCAAATCAAACTGGTAGCTATTGCAGCCTAAATCTCAAGTAAGAATCCACACCCTATAAATCATTGCCAACTCATTTATCAAGTGTTTGGTCCGAATGCGAAAAGGTATCAGCTATATGGCATAAGAAAATTGTGAACTAAAGAAACTTGTGAACAAAGGAAAATCCATATGAACCAGAACCTAAATAATCACTACGAGACATTGATATGGCAAGACCACTCAAGGTAAGAAATCTGAGGTGCTTCTATTTAAATTAAGGTATGTCAAATCCAGTGAAAATTCCATGAAAGAAAAATCGCTATAGGAGCTCTTTAGATGGATATGATTAGACAAAGATACCTGTGATAACACCAGTTCTCCATAAATTGTGAAGGCAGTTCAACAGCATCCCACTCAATACCACGATTGCCAGAAACCAACCCTTCATCTTCCTTGGTAAGCATATGCTGAAGTGCATGACCAAACTCATGAAAGACAAGTCTCAACCTACAATCAGGACAAAACTTGATTACAGCTGCAAGGCAAGACTAACATGATGTCTCGAGTTCTTTAGAAATGCCGAAGTACTTTTTACTGACACTGAATTCTCATGGAGCCAATTCAGTCAAAGCTCTAAAAGGCCACACGTGAGTCCATATGTGCATGATAACATTTGAAGAAGAATGAGAAAGCAAAACTCAAAATGCATTTCTGCTACAAGAAATATATAGATAACCCAACATTTCTTATTTCGCATTAAGAGATCCTATAAGAATATTAGAATGAAAGAAACATCTATAATCAAATCAGATGGGCACTTAAATCAAACATTCACCTCACGAAAAGTCAAGAGACTTGGCCCCCCCACAGGTGGTGTTTGATTGCAAACCATGTGAGCAATCGGCAGCCGAGCCAAATTACTGCTGCGCGACATTGCACGGCTTCGACTAACAACCACATCCATCCATGCCCCACCACTCTTGTTAGAAGGCCTAGAATAAGGATCAAAATAGAAGTATGCAATTGGACTGCCAAACAAGTCTTTGACACAATAGAATCTAACATCGCTATTCCATACCTGAACAAAAAAACATAAATATGTTGTGCCCAAAGCATACTGGTACGTGTGAATTTCTAGCCAAGCAATTGAAACGAATAATAGTAAATCGGGTCACAAGGGTATCTTATTGGAGCAACGCCATCAGCTGATTCAATCTCTATATCAAAGAGCATCTTTGAAAGGTTGAAAAGGCCTTCCATAACCCTTGTTAATGAGAAAAATGGCCTCAGTTCTTCCTGTAAATTCAAAGGAGGATAAAATGAGGAATGCCCAGCTAATTGTCCAAATAGCCATACTGAATCTTTTGATTCATTCATCTTTGGAAAACAAACCTACATGTTATTTTCAAACATTAACGTAATGCCCAACTCACTGATTAAATATAACTCAAAGCCATCAGAATGTGATAAAGTAACAATCAAATCCTAGATGTATGGAAAATACTATCAACTTTATCCGCTGACAAGTTTAGTGCAACAACAACAGAGATCCAAATGATGAAATTGATGGACACAGTTACCACTAGCAAGATCAGATACCAGGAAGCCATTGTCGTCCAGGTCCCCACAACCAGGTCCCACAGCTTCAAGAGAAAATCATACATTCCTATAGGGGGGCCAAGGCTAGGTTCATTCACCCTGACATTCCTGCTCTGCCAAAAGTTCAGGTGCTAGGTGTGTCCTGACAAAATTATAATTGTCGACAGCAGCAGGGCATTCCTGACATCGGCATGGCATAACACTTCGTAATTCATTAAAGGTAGGACGATCATTATGGTCCTCTTTTCTACATTCATGTGCATTTTGGTGATTCACAAGTCCTCAACAGCTCTCACGTATAATGGATCTCACTCCATTGCCATTGTGGAGAGGATGAGTTGCCTCTCCATCATTCGGATATATGAAAGCGATATAACAACCACAAGTTTAGAAGTAAGAAGAGGGAGACCAATTCCAGTGATCACAGACTCAATGTATGTGCTCTTTCCTGTTCCAATTTCTGAGCTTCAATAGATAACCTCTTAAGGGACTGGTATATGAGAGGGTTATAAGACCAGCCATTTCCTCTCCACCATTCCTTACCCTTGTTCAAAGAGAGCCACTGTCCCACTGCGAACGTCGAAGCTTAATTTTCATTGGTTCTCTAAAGATAACCAGGGTTTGCGATGCCTTTTATGGCCATCTTGCAAAGAACTAAATGGTTACATGATGTGCAGAAAGGGCAACTACAAGCTAATATATAAAAGTTTGTGATTATTATAAACCTACATAATGTGTTGTAAATTGTAATGGCTCTAGCGAGGCTACCAGTCTTAGTTGTCATGGCTGTACAGCCTGCCTCGATGATAAATATACTCCATCCATTACAATGAAAATAAAAACAGCAGACACTGTATGTGTATCTTGCTTGCATCCTCATTTGAATATTGAAGACATGACAAAAGAGATCTAGGAATAAAAGATTGGCAGTTACCACACCATATGAACTTATCTTTATCAACGTGCTAGGTTTCTCACTAAAAATCAACGGCTTTGTTGCTTGCACAGTTTAGACCTACTTTCCATGATTTCATTTCTACACCAAAACCTGTTTTTTTGAATTTCCAAGCCCCATGGATTTCACTCATTAGCTCCCTCAACCCGAAACATAAGGAACATTTGGTAGGTATGAAAATTTTAGAGAGAGAAAGTACCTAAATTTTTTAAAGAGAGAAACTGCCTCAAAAATTTTAGAGAGAGAAACTAACTCAAATGTTAACTTTTAGAGAGAGAATGTATGTTAACATTTTGGAGAAAAAGTAGGTTAAAATTTTAGAGAAAGTACCAAAAGTTTATAATCTCAAATTTTAACTCTTAGAGAGAAAATATATTAAAATTTCAGAGAAAAACTGTCATATTTTAGAGAGAAACTACTTAATTATGCTTAGAGAGAAAAATTATGTCAAATTATTGAAGACGGGAACTATCTCAAATTTTAAGTTTTAGAGAGAGAGTATCTTAAAATTTTAGAAAGAGCAATTATATTAAATTTATAGGGAGAAAGCAACTCAAAAAATTTAGAGAGAGAAACTATCTCCAAATTAAAAAAAAAAAACAATTTCAAATTTTAAGTTTTGGATAGAAAGTATATTAAATTTTAGAGAGAAACCATATCAAATTTTAGAGCGAGAAACTATCTCAAAATTTTATAGGCACTCCCAAATTTTTAGTTTGAGAGAGAAAAAGTATATTAAACTTTTAGAAAGAGAAATGGTATCAAGTTTTGTTACCAAACAATGGACATGGAAGTGATTGCAAGGAATCCATGAATTTTGTATAGTTTATCCAAACAAGAGATTTTAGGAATCCATGACAAAAATCCTTGACATTGAAAATCCATTGATTTCCTTGGATTTCAAATATCTAAGATTCTTAATTTCCTCCTATACAAACGGGCCCTTAGGGGATTTTTCGACATTTGATTTCCAGGGAATTTTAATATCCTAGCCATTGAGCAAACCCGTGAATTTTAGTAATTTCCAAGATATTAAAAATCCATGCCCCAAAATCCATGTGCCCAAACGAGCCATAAATATGTTGAACTCGTAATCTACCTAGGACTCCCTAAGCCCTATAATTGCAAAGTTATCCTCGTCAATCAGCACATAAGATCTCTCTCCCCTCTCTCCACTCCACTTCATTCTCTCATCTCTCTCTCTTTCTAGCTCCTCTCTCTCCCCACTTTCTAGAAGGTGCCACGCCACCTCCCCGTAAGTGTAAGGGTGGCATGCACCTCAAGGGGAAATTAAGGAGGGGGGCACGCCCAGCCTTCTTGTTTTAGAATTGGGGAGGTCAGGAGTTGCCATTCGGACAACGCCCTTAGGTTGAAAAAGGGTTCTTAGTGAAACCCTAATTGTGATCCTAGCTCTCTTGCTCCATAAGTTTTAGAAAGTGAGTCCCAAAAGTGCCTCTCAGTTTCAGATTAGTGGATCCAGCAAGTTCTGAAATCAAGTGCACTATTGGTCAAGTGATCAGGTGTAGGGTGTGCTAAGCACTAAGAGGGATAACCTTAGGCAAAAGTCAGTACGCTTTCCCATATTTATTTAATCTTATTTAGTATTATTCTTGGTTATTTATTTCCTAAAGTTGTTAAATTTTATTCAATCTTAATAAAGTTTATTTTTGGCATTAAGTTATTAAGATCCTAGATTGTAGTACACCAATTTTATTGCAATTGTGGCACCTGTAAGTAGAATTTCTAGCAATCAATAAAAGAAAAAGAAAGAAAATTTTGAAATTATAGCCTAGAATTCTACATTGCCACTTCTTTAATGGGCCCTTAGAACTATATAAACAAAAATATACACAATTTCTACAGCCTTGGATGGCAAAGGGCAAGCAATAGACATCATGAGGTGGGCAACATGAGAGAAACGTATGAAGGTATTTAACAATAATGACTCAACAAAGATCCCTTAGCTTTACATCCACAGAGAAGCCAAAGGTGAGCCTGATCCCAGTTTTCAGAATTTTCAGAAACAAACTATGATGTTGCCCTTTGCCATGCATAACATCCAAGCAAGCAATAGTTAACTATGGTCCAGAACCATTCATAACATCCAATTTTCAGAAACAAACCATTCGCAATTTCCAGATTTATAGAAGCACTAACTTTTCGGGGCACAAGTTTCCATTTTAATTATGACTATATAAACACATCCAATTTTCAGAAACAAACCATTCACAATTTCCAGATTTATAGAAGCACTAACTTTTCGAGGCACAAGTTTCCATTTTAATTATGACTATATAAATACATCCAATTTTCAGAAACAAACCATTCACAATTTCCAGATTTATAGAAGCACTAACTTTTCGGAGCACAAGTTTCCATTTTAATTATGACTATATAAATAGATAAATGGTAGGTCAGACTGGTTTGTTTCAGGGGAGAAACTTCAAGGATTGAACCCTTGACCGCCCCTTGCAAGCCAGAAGTGTGTACCACAAGGCCAAGTGGCCAACTGAAGGGAAAGTTGTAACTATAAATGGAATAGGGATTTTCATGGCTAAGGAAATAATAAAAGAAACTCCTAAACTTCTGAAAGAAGTGGCTATGTGGAATTCAAGGCAATAAAATCAAAAAAAAATTTCTTTTATTTATTATTGAATCTGAATTCCACTTACAAGTACACCATAATACACTAGTATCAAAGGAAATTAAAACCCTAAATAAAATATAGGACCTCTCCTTTTACAGCCAAACTAAATAATACAATCCAAGAAAAAAACCAAGCTTCTACTATCAATTTGAGTACAAATAACGTTGCTGGAAAATCACAGTAAATATGGAAATATGACTGAAAAACAAAAATAAACAACTGGGAAGACTTACTCAATTATTCCTAGGGTCACTCTTAAAAGACTAAGTACACCCCACACCTAATTTCCTGACTGATGGCCCACTTCAATCGTATTGGTCTTGCTGAATTTTCAAGGCCGGAAAGCTTCCTTAGACAATACCTTTTAAACTAGAGTGTTAGAGAGCATAGAGCATAGAAATACAGTTAGGGCATGCCTCAAAAAGGCTCCTCCCTTTTTCTACGGTTAGACTAGTCCTTTCTCTACAAATTCTAAAAAAAATTCTAAAATTTACATAAACATTTCTAATTGAAATAAAATATCTACTGGTACCAGTAGGTCAAAACCAAGTAACTATAAGGGAACTCCACACGACCCAGTGATCATGATCCACAACTGTCTTCTTAAACCAACCCACCGAAACACAAGATCCATAGTCTCATGCAGAGGCTCATGATTGACTCGTCAAAGCTGACCAATAAAAAGTGGAACAACAATCCCCAAATGTGGATTACAGTTCTTCTCTTAAGAGCAAGTTGAGTACATATCACTATAGTGCAAGAGGGACACTTTCTATGCACATGTACACGTATTTTCATCAGGGTCGCTTCCCGGTAATGCGGCAGTTATATATATACATGCTATGTGGAAGTTTGTTAAGGATTTAGCCCTCGCATTCATAGGCCAACATCCGTACACAACAGATCGCATATATCTCTTGGTCTATAGATTAACCCTGAGCATCTCTTCGACCTCAACAAAGGAAGACCCTCTGTAAACCCTTTTTGGCAGTGCCACAAGCCCAAGGGTGAGGGTTTTAGACATAATCAGGGCCATAGATCCTTGATCAATAAACAATACACATTCCCACTGAAGTATATAATCCACTATAAAGGCCTTTTACATGCTCTTACGGCCTTTAAAGGCCACAAACCCCAATAATTTCTCCCAGACTATGGCACTTATATTAACAAACTCTTAGGAACATATGTTTATGTTCAACCAAATGCGAATGCATTAAAACAACAATCGTATTTATTTCATAAGAATTCGAGATATTGATCAAACACTTGATTATGGATTCAACAATTCGTGATGATTCATCATCATTATAGGAGCCGTTTCCCAATTATATGGGTCCGCTACACAAATCCTGGTCCATCATGCAACAATACGTGATTGCGCAAAAAAAAGTGCAGCAATGCAAGGGAAAAGTCATAGGTCCCTAGTTGGATTGAACCAATTAATCAAGTTGATTTCACTCTAATTGCTAACATTTTCAGCTCCAAGACTGTCAAATCGCACGACAAATGTAGGATAAATATCTCATCATGTAACCATCACATAAATACAATTAGACTAGGAGAATTTATCAATTCCCAACTTATGGGATAGACGATAAATTGACACCTAAACCATTGAAGGAAGAGGCAATGTAGAATCCCAAGCCATAAATTCAAAAAAAAAAAATCTTCTTTTCCATTAATGCTGAAAATTCTACTTACAAGTGCCATAATTACAATAGAATAGGCCAACTATAATGTAGGATCTCAATAAATTACTGTAAAAAATAAACTTTTATTCAAACTGAATAAAACTTGACAAGTTTAGAAATTAATTAAACAAGAACAACAATAAATAGGAACTTAATAAATATGGGAAGACTTATTAACCTTTGCCTAGGTTACCCCCTTAGGGCTTAGCACACTGCACACAAATCACCTGGCCAATGGCACCCTTAAAGTTCTAGAATCTACTGATCTCACAGATCTGAACTGAGAAGCACCTCACCCTTTCTAATACTTTTGGGGCGAGAGAGCGAAAACACAATTAGGGTTTCACTAAGAAGACCCTTTTTAAACTTGAGGCATGGCATAATGGCAACTCCCTAACTTAAGGCTGGGGGCGCCCCTCTTTTACTCTCTCCTATGTTTGTGTGTGCCACCCCCAAACACTTATTTGGGGTGGTGTGCCTCATAGGAAGAGAGAGAGAGGCTTAGAGAGAGATGAGATGGAAACTTGGAGAGAGGCATGGTGAGAAGAGAGAGAGGTCTAGCGCGATCTCTAAAAGGGGGAGAATGACCTTTACATAAGCCCCTAGGGCTTAGGGTGTCCCAATCAAATTAGGAGTTCAACTTGATCAAGAATTGCGAAGGTGATTTGTTTCATCTCCTAGATCAGCTATCATGATCTAGAGTGAATGTTTAGAAATCTTATCCCCTGAGATTTGACCCATATCCACTTCTAATCCATCAGAACTTTGACCAGTCAAATCTAATCCTCTAGAGCTAATCTAGAACAATATAGGATGATTTGGTACTGTTATTCTCTCATAAAGATATAATTAGGCATGCAAATTAATTTAAAAATTGGCCTAGATTATCTAGATCCTAAAAATGATATCAATAAATAATAATCGGGGGCATCTCATTTTATGGGAGGTGTAGTCCTAGTGGGCCCCACACATGTGGGGGCTGTGCCATTAGGCCTTCCCCCCCTTCTCCCCCTTCTCAAGTGGATCCCACTTGCAAAAAAAGAATTGTCCATTAAATATCCTTCACTGGAAAATTATAGAAAAACCTTTTTAGGGTTTTTGCACATTTAAACTTCATTTGTAAAATTTTGAAAAATTCTCAAAATTCATGATAACGTATTTTTAATTGAAAACAATATTTCTGGAGGTCCATGAAAATCCAAAACACACAAAAAATACAACTTAGAAGTGAATAGATACCTAATGGGTAAAAAACAAGTAAATATCAGGGCCCTCCACCTGTGCTAGAATCCATGATCCACTATTGTCTTCTCAAACTAAACCAACAAGACCCATGACCCACAGTCAAGTGAAAGTGTTCATGATTGGCCCGACAAATTTAGCTACTAAACAATGGAATCATAGTCCCAGTATGTGGATGACAAGTTCCTCCCAAGAGCAAATCAAACGCACATATATAGTGCAGGGCACGCTCTCTCCATGCACATATACACGTGTCCCTCTATATAGAGTTGCTTCCCAAAGATGTGATTTATATATGTACATGTCATACAAAAGTTTTATTGAAGATTTGACCCTCGCTGTAACAGGTCCTTCCTTTGCACACAGGAGACCACATAGCTCTTCTGACCTACAAACGTCTCTGGGCATCTCTCCGACCTCAATAAGGAATGACCCTCAATAAACCCTCTACGGTAGCACTACATGCCCAAGGGTAAGGGTTTTAGACATGACCCGGGTCATAGACTGCCCAACCCTAGATCAGTCAACCACAATACACGCCCACTAAAGTGAATAAATCACTATAAATAATTTTATTTGCATGCTCTCTAAGCTTTTAAAGGCCACAAACCCCAACAACCACAAGTATTCACATCACCTCATTAACATTTAAACAAAAGGAAACATTCATATGGTCATCTTTTTGTCGATGGGTAAGCATGTAACTTAAATCAATAGCATAACGTCCAATAAGAGCTGCAGCATAGCATGCTTAATTTTGATGGAAGCTGAAAATAAAGCATCATAGAGATGATTTTGGTATCACAATGGGGAAATAAGGTATGTGGGTCGATATGGTCAATCCCAAAGGAGAAAGATGATGCAAGTAGCATATGGGCTACACTATCTAGCGGGTAACATCTCGAAGTCAATTGCATTTGAAAGGAATGTCCTAAACCTAACTAGATGTCTCTGTCAACAATTCAGAAAGAAAAACTTGCTACATTTGTTTCATATCTTTAATTTTTAAAAAAACACATAGGAAGCAAAGCAAAATTTTATTTAAAAAACCATAAGTAAATGCTATAATGCAACACACCTCATTGATGTCATACTTTGATTCACGAAGTCTCTCACTCCAAAATCCAGTGTCCCAATGTTGAAGATCACCAGCTTCTTCAGCTCCTTGTTCCCTGCAGAAAATCTTCAATTCTTCCATATCTGCAGATTACATTGTATATAACCACTTTAAAATAGAAATGCAAGTACCAAAGCATGGTTTCTACAATCCTTATGTGCAAAGCAAAAACTTCGTTAGATAGATTGAGCTCAATTAACACTTGCACATAAAAGAATACAAATCTGATTACAGAAAACTATATCACGAGATACATAGGGCAAAGATCTTATGCACCAGGCACATAGATAAATGCACCCACATCTTGATTTTGAGTCCAAGTGATGGTCCAATCTCAAACATCATGTAGGTCCATAAAAATCTAAACAGTAGGCTACCCAGTGGCAGAGATTGGAACATGACTTGATTGAAAGTCCTGATGCTCCAGGTACATCTGTCCCATAGCAATTGTGCCTTCAAGGGGTTTGTACTTTGATAGGCTTAAATTGCTCCAATACCTTGTTAGATCCAATAAAGTAAATCCCAGCTATAAGAAAACAAATACATCCCCATATACCACGACCCGCTTAAAATTATATTGCATACTAAAAAATGATTATAAAGATAATACCCAGAAACTTAAATGAATAAGATATAAAACAATACAAAACACACAATACAATATATAATATACAAGAATAAAAATGCTAACCCCATGTGTCCTTAACATGACAAAAAACAACCATGCCGTAGGTGCTCATCACCTTATTCATCATCTCACTCTTGTCAAATCAAGGGCGTCTAATTTCATCCACATCACCAATTCACCTAATATTTTACTCTATTGAACAATACAACATATTGACAAGTTTTAAGTAAGCTAGTGTGGCCTTTTCCCTGAAACATCTCTAATGTATGGGAGAGCAAAAAGCAACAACCAAATTCAAAAGCTGATGTAACAGCCATACAACATGCGGTATCTTTCACATTTTGCAAGAATGATAGAACCGCATCATTCTCAACAATCCTCACATCCAACATATTTTTCAGTCGCTGTTTACAATGACAATGTCAATGCCTTCCAGATTTTTTGAAATTGTGTCCTCTAGAATGTCTTCTGTTGTGAATATTAAAGTTTATGCTTCTTTCTTTTGTATTTAAGTCCCTAAGGACCGATTTTATCTTTTTCCATACTTAAGGGCGTTAATGTACATTAGTAAATAATTTTATAATGAATGAGAGAGGCATGTGGGAGAAGTGAAACAACTGTGACTGCCTCTCTTTTTCCCTCCTCTCATCATAACTCTCTCTCTCTCTCTCTCAGCCTCTTCCTTTCCTGCTCTCTAAACCTTCGTCTTTCTCATTCTCTTTCATCTCCTTTTTCTTTGTTGCTGTAAATTTTTCACTTAGTATCTATTAAAATCCCTTGTTATCAAAGTTTTGGACCTAAGTGTCCTAATAACATTTGTATGTGCAGTTTTGTCCACATCATAAATTTGAATAAAATATATGACTAGGAGGTGCGTGAGGGTGCGTAAAACCTCACATCTTTCTCTTTTCTCTCATATTTCTCACATATTTCTCGCTTCTCTCTTCTCTCTTCTACTTCGCTTTCTTATTCTCTTTTCTCTCTATATTCTTCGACATGGTATCAAAGAAGATCCTTTATGTTTCTTGAATCCTTTCTTTTTTGAATTTTTAATCTTTTCATCTTCCCCTTTCCTTTCATCTTCTCTTTTTTTTTGGCCCTTCCTTAAAAAACAGAGAGAGATAAATCATGATCTTCCCCTTTCTTTCTTTATTTTTAATCATATAACTACAACAATGTGCTACATTACCGTGCTACAGTAACATCTATATGGATCAAGATATACAGGGAGATCATGACCTAATTTCAATGTTGGCAACATGGTCATGCTTAGATGTGTTCAATTTGGTGTTGCCCTAATTTGTTCAAATGTGAGAATGTGACCAGATCTGAAAGACAAGTATCTCTCACCTTTTAAAGTTGTACTAGGTTTGTGTGAGTGACTGAAATTGGCCAACCTTGGTTGTCCTTCCTCTCCTTTATCTTTTATGGTCATGGAAAGTAAACCTCGCATCCTTAGTGTGCCTGACACTGTAGGGAGACAAATCACTTCTGAAAATTAAATGAGTCCAATTATGTTGTATGGGCTCAATCTGTCAAAGTGTCCTTGAGTGCAAGGGGGAAACTAAACTATTTAACTGGGGAAACTAAACTATTTAACTAAGGAAACTGAACTATTTAACTGAGGACAAGCCTGTTAATTCTGATAGTAGATATGAAGAGTGGATGAGAGAATTACATAATCATGACCTTGTGTAGAGTAGTATGGAACCACAAATAAGTACCAATGTGATGTTTCTTGATACAGTTAAGGAAATTTGGCATACTTTGGAAAAAACATATTCAGCAAATAAAAATATCCCTTGGGTATATAAGCTTTTTGAGAAAATATTTCAATTGCAGAAAGGTAATAAGAATGTGAGTGAACATTATAGTACCCTCAAGGGTATGTGGGAAGAGCTGAACCATAGTTGTTGGAAACGTCCAGGAACCCAAATCATTTTAGGAACTGGAATTGCGGAGTCGCGGCTAGCTAGAAGATTCATGTCTTAGGAATCGAGTTTCGAGTTTCCGACACTCCAGGAGTCAAGATTCCCACCCTCCTGAAATCGACACTCTAGGACTCAAGATTCTTTAATAAGCAGAATTGAGTTTCCGACATCTATGGAATCAAGTTTCTGACATATGTGGAACATAGATATGTTGTTGTTTCGAATAGTGATTCTAACATATTTGGAATCAAGTTTTTAAAATATATAAATCAGAGATCCATGCCAGTTTGAGATCAAGATTTCGTTTTTATGGAGAAGGAAGCCATAAGCACATCTTGAGCCTCATCAACTTTAGAACTTATATTGGATGTCTCTTATTAGAAGGTTTCTCGAATTTTAAAGCGATTGTGTTGACTATTGAACTTATGGTCATTATATACAAAAGACAAGTATTACTAAATTGAATTTGACTTCATTATTATAAAGACAAAATAGGATTATGTCTACGCCATGGTCTTACTTTTAATTGTATGTGTTGTATTTACCAATTATATTTTAAATTTAAAGTAAAGGCCATCCAGGGTAGCACAAGTAAAATAATGAAAGCCTATTACCACTAGAAGCATTTGAAGGAAGATTCCTACTCCAATTGACATGGAATCAAGATTTAAATCTCGTTAGAATCCATATTCGATATATTTGGGAACGTCTACCCGCAAATAATGGGTCCAAGTTTTCAAAGATGTGTTGGATCGAGATTGCGAAATGACAGAATCGAGTTTCCTTGGTTCCAATAAATGGTTTCTAAAGATGTGTTGAATCGAGATTCCGAAATTAAGGAATCGAGTTTCCTTGGTTCCAAAAAAAGGTTTCTAACGATGTGTCGAATCGAGATTCCGAAATTAAGGAATGGAGTTTCCTTAGTTCCGAAAAACGGTTTCTATAAAGAGTCCTTAACAGAAATGCGGAATCGGATTTCGGAACCGGAAACGTGAGGTCGGTAGAGAGATTCCGGTAACTATGAGTTGAGCCTATTTCAGCCTATATCTGGTGCTATGGAATTAGAAAAGAGGTTGTGTGAAGAATTTAGGGTTGCCAAATTTTTATCTAGCCTCAATCTTGAATACCATCCTGAACGTGCATTGATCTTGGAAAGCAGTGAACTCCCATCTCTCGCTAATGTTTACTCGCACATTCAACAAGTCAATATATCTGCCTCTCTCTCTCTCCTTCTGACTCAAGTATTGGTGATGGATCGGCATTGAATGTAGTTGTAGGGAGAGGTGATGGAGGTAGAGGTGGGGGACATAGTCATGACTCAAGAAAAGGCCGAGGGAGAGGTGATGAAAGCAGGGGTCGAGGAACTTGCAAGTGTACGCATTGTGGGCATGCAAATCATACGGTTGATGAGTGTTGGAACAAGGTTTGTAAGCCTGCTTGGGCAACCCAAGTTACTTACACATCTGAGAGTGATGACCTTACCTGAGTAGACTCAATGATCACCAACAACAGGTAAATTCAGCTGGTAACTCTGTTGTGATTTCCAAAGAAGAATATAATAAACTTGTTAAACAAGAACAACAGTCTATGGTTCCATCTTCCTCTTCTACTAATATCGTTGCAAATTCAGTTACTTTTGTGCTTCTTGCCTCCTGCGCCCTGGGTTATTGACGCAGAAGCATCTGATCACGACTGGCTAGTCCTCTATTTTTATATGTCTAAATAAGTGCATTTCTAATTCTTCTGTTACCCTGGCTGATGGATTGTTGTCCAATGTGTCAAGGCAGGGTACAATTATACCTATCCCTTCCCTTTCTCGAGCATCTGTCCTATATGTCCCAAAGTTTCCCTTCAGTTTATTATTTGTGAGCAAATTAATCAAATCTCTTCATTGGTCTATAACATTTTATTCTTCTTCTTGTATCTTTTAGGATCTAAAGACCAAGAGGACAATTGGTGGTAGGTATGAGTCAGGAGGCCTATTTTACTTGGATCATAACCTCATTGGTGTTGCTCTTCACTCTGCTGATTCTCCTTATTTATAACATCGTCTGCTGAGTCATCCTTCTCTGAAGAACTTGAAGTTGTTAGTCCCTTCTTTAGAGTTTGTGTCTGCTTCATGGATGATTATCGACAACTGACATGGTTATATTTAACAAAAGAAAAATCTGAAAGTTTCTCAATTTTTAAATTGTTTCACATGGAGATGCAAACTCAATTCAATAAGAATGTGTATATTTTGTGGTCTGATATTGCTAAAGAGTATCTTTCTAAAGCATTTCAAAATATTATTTTGTTGAACACGAAATTTTGCATCAAACTTCTTGTGTGCATGCTCCTCAACAGAATGGGGTTGTTGAAAGAAAAATCAGCACTTACTTGAAGTAGCCCCTTTTTTTCTTACTAGTATGCATGTTCCAAAGGTTTATTTGGGAGATGCCTTACTGACTGCATGCAATTGAATTAACCGTATGCCTTCTTAAGTCTTAAATGGAAAAACACCTCACATGGTTCTCCTTCCTGATGCTGCACCATTTGTTGTTCCTCCTCGACTTTTTTGGTGTGCTTGCTTTGTTCATATGTTAGGTATTGGTCATGACAAGCTAGGTCCTCGGGCTGTCAAGTGTATCTTTCTTGGTTATTCACCTTCTAGAAAGGTTATTGTTATTATCATCCTGGTTTACAAAAGAAATTTGTTTGTGATACTGCATACTTTTCAGAAGAGTCATTTGATTGAGAAAAATAATTTTAATCCTACTTCTGAAGAAGTCTCAAGGTCCTCGCCTTCTATTATTCCTCTTCCTATTCTTGTTCATACTTCTTCTTCACACCAGTTGCATGACTACATTGAATCTAGTGCACTCATACATCATGATGTTTCTCAAGAGCAGCCCATAAAGGTTTACACCAAAAGAAAAATGCATGTTGGACATCCCCCACCAACTCAGCTGGCCTCTCAATCGTCATCTCCGTTTACTAATGCACTTCCTTCTTGTGATGATGATGTATGCCATCTATAAAAGTATCAGGCCTTGTACTCAACATCTAATTGGGTATTTTGTTGCCTTTACAAATTTGTCTCCATCATATCAAAGTTTTGCTTTAACTCTGTCATGTATTTATGTTCCTAAGACCTACCAGCAAACACTTTCTCACACTGGGTGGAAGAGAGCAATGGAAGAGGAGATGGATGCTCTTCAGTCAAATGATACACAGGAACTCACCGAGTTACCAGCTGGAAAAAAAACTGTTGGGGGTCAATGGGTTTATGCAGTAAAATATCAACCTAGTGACATTGTAGAAAGAATAAAGAGCATATTGGTAGCCAAGGGATACACATAAACATTTGGCATCAACTAAGTTAAAACATTTGCTCATGTTACTAAACAAAATTCAGTTTGAGAGGTTATATCGGTGGCTGCCAACAAGGGATGGTTGTTATGGCAACTTGATGTCAAAAATTCTTTCCTTCA